CTTGACGGACGGCCGCTTGTTTTACATCGCCGCTGTTAGCCAGAGGAGGGACGCAGTAAACAAAACACAGCGGGTGTGGGGTTTTCCTTCGCCGGGTGTAGGTGATTGTGGGGAAGTACTTGGCTGGGGCTGGGTTTTTAGGAAGGGAGATTTTCTCAGCTCTTTTCCGGAAAACGGGTGTTTCGGGAGGTTTTTGCAAAGGAGTGGTGCCTCTTCCTCTGGGGTCCTTCGTAATGCCTTGGTCCCCTGGGGTGTGTTTTGCTTATGTGTCTGTCGAGTTACTTCTGGTGTGCTGTGGCGGAAAGCGCTGTTTCAGGACGAGCTGGTTTTGCTGAAAGTTGTATTGAGGCTTACTCGCTATGCTGAATGGCAGCTAGCAGGTTCTCACTTTAGTTCAACTTCAGGCACACTGAGCTTTGATATCTCTTGCCTGTAAGCTCGAAATACACCTTCTTATTTAAACAATGAGGAAGCTGAGACAGATTGATGTCACTCAGCCTTCCTTCCTATGTTTTTGTTGAGACACAGATTTATTTATTCTTTTCTGGGAAAAAAAAAAAGAAAAAAACACCTTATTTTCATGGCTTTAATCACTAAGCCGCAGTTTTCCCACCCGGAAAACAAAAAAATTAAAATTTAGTCTATAAGCTGGTGCAAGAGGTGCTGCGCGAGTTAGTACCTCTCTTTCCCTGTCTTGTAGGCATTATGGTTTGAGCCAAGTCAATGGCTTTTTAAACAAATTTCTGACTGCTGGAAGGAAAAGTGGTTTTCTGATTCCTTTCATATAGCCTTATCATAAAGTTAATGCAGCGTGCAAAATGACCTTTTGTAAAGGTCATTCCACTGAGCACTTGAAAGATCTGATAGTTGAATTCAACAAGGCAGAAAATAGTTTGTAAATAGTTATTCAGATGGATAGAGTTTGGAAATTAAATGGCATTTGTAAACCTGAAGGGGAAAAAAGATACAAGGTTGCTTTGTAAAGTCCCACTTTGCATATCATTTAGATGAAGATTTAAATATCTTATACGTATATCTAAAAAGGTTTGAATATCTTGTATGCGTTAACTTGTCGAGAAATAATATCTTGTGTAAATCATGACCAGGATGACTTGCATCTACAGCCTTCTAGAGGTAGATGTAGTTCTGTGTAAGTAATGAAACCTGTGCTTTCTTTGGTAGACCCTCCATGCTGCCCCGTCACATGCAGAGGCTGGGCAGAGACTGGATCACCCACTGGAATGGTTCTCAGATACTCACCTTGAATAGCCCAGTTTCCAGCTGCATGAGATGGGCTGGGCACTATCCCTGGGCCTCGTTTCCACTTCCTGTTCCAGTTGATTTCTCAGCAAACTGGAGACTCCCTCCGTTTTTTGGACCTTGGAGACAATTTCAGAACTCTAATTGGCAGCTTGACAATTTCACACAAAGTTCTTGCTTTCACCTACCTAACCCCAGTATGAAATCTGAGGGAGAAGAACCATTGACAAAGAAGAGAAGACTCAGTGGCCAGCATGATACTTCAACTCCTGAAGAAGAGACAAACTTCTCTAATCAGAAGGAAGCATTGTGTCTTTCTGTAGCACAGAATGAAGAAAAACATAGCAGGAAGAAAGGTAAAAGATGCTCTTTCCTCATTTTCCTTGTTTATTTGTAATGTTAAACACATCTAACAAGTTGTAAGCAATATTGCCTGCACCTTTTGAGTTCCTGTTTTTCTTGGCACCTCTCTCAAGAAAACATCTGTCTTAAAAATATTGAAGTTTTGTAATGCTGTTTAGTCTGTAAACTTGTATTTTGTGCTGTCAGACAGTCTGCCGGAACTAGGTTCACTGTGCTTGGGGGTAGGACACAGTCAATTATGGGAGGGATTGCCCAGCTGGGGAGTCTTGAGCTTGGTTCAGACAACTCTCTCACAGGTGTCTGTTGCCAGATCATGTCTGTTAACTTGGGAACTCTTCTAAAGCAAAAAGATTTAGCTAACTTGCTGTAGGGCTGAGCTGGGCTGGCGGTTGTGCAGCTTCATTCCTTGCACTGTACCTGAGCTCGTAAGTCATGCTGGACCTGAATTGCCTTCTTTATGAGCCAGTTGAGTTATCTGTGACCTAGATAACTGAGAATTAATGGACTGAGGTTTAATGGTGTTTGCTTCCAGTGTGATTGTGCAGTTTTGTTTTTACAACTGTATTCTGCCACTGGCATGTTAGCAAGTTTTGTGTCAGACCATGACTGGCAAAGCAAACAGCAAATGCCCTCATCCAGATAAATACAATAAGAACTGCAAAGATGTCTACCCAACTTAGTAACAGACTTTCGTGAAACTTCAAAGTGTCTGCATTAGCTTATTGCAGATACAGTCTTCTACATAGCATCCAAATGTTTTACTGAATATTGTGGATATTAACAGTTTTGTCTACTGTGAAACAAAGAGAGTGGCACAGTCAAAATTAAGGCCCTCCTGCATAAATCACCTCCTTAACAAAATAAACTGGAAGCTGTATTATGACTGAAAAGACCAACAGATGCCATCAGCATCCCAAAGGGATTTTTGGGCACAAATATCCATAAGGCTTAGAAACATCGTACCCATCTTCAGGAGCTGAAGGGAGGGAGTTTGCTTTGTGCCTTTATGGCTGAGTCCTCTCAACCCTCCTTGACATACCTTTATCTGAGAGTGTGGTTATCATTGTGGTCCTTCCTAGTTAGCTTTTCTTCACATGTTGTAAGGTGATGGTAATTAAAGATACCTACTGAAGAGCAATACGGCATCTCTCCCACTATAGAAACAGTACTTAAAGCCTTGCTGTATTCATTGCAATACTAGATAAAGTCCTGAATAATGTAAGCACAGTGATGAAATTTACTGCCCAAATAGGGCAGATACTAACAGCTATAAGCTGCAGTCTGCCACTGGTTGATAGCACAGGTAACTGGACCTTGGCATGCTCTCAGATGAGTTCAGACGTAGAGGCTGAAAAGCATCTTTGTCCATGAGACTTGTAAGTGGAGAAACACATATTTGAAACATAATTGGATGCTTAATGATGGGCAGATATATTCTTATAAACTTTAGTTTTCACTGGTGCTTATATAAAGTTCATCTTAAATAGAGGGTCTAAGTCACTGCTAATCAAATAAGCTTTTAGAATTGCTTAAGCAATTTGAAAGACAAGTAGTTGTCTGTAGAATGATTTCTAAGAGCAGTAAGAAGTCATATGGTATATTACATAACTTTTTCTGCTTCGTGTGCTTTTAACAGGAACCGTCAAAAGACACTGGGAGTATTTCTGCCAGCACAGTAGAACAATGCAAATCTTTGAAAATAAACAAACTGACCAAAGCAATACAGAAAGTGAGGCAAAATTTGATTTTACAGTCATGTCCTACAATATCCTCTCACAGAATTTGTTAGAAGATAACTCGCACCTGTACAAACACTGCAGGCAACGGTTGTTAATCTGGACATACAGATTTCCCAACATTCTGCAAGAAATCAAACAGCTGGATGCAGATGTGAGTAGAAAATATGCATGTGTATATTTCTTAAGAACTGATAAAATGAAGTGGCAAGTTCTTGCTGTTCTTTATTTTGATAGGTGGGCTGTCTGGTGAATCCAACTGAGCTTTTAGTTATGTCATGCTTAACAGTAGTTTTCATTTATGCTTATGCAATTAGTGTATTCTGTGTGATGTGATTTTACAGCAAAGGCAAACTCTACAGTACATATCACTCATAATTGCCTTTTTTGTCCATAACTTCCTAGAATGGTCTTTTTGACATGACTTTGATGTTCTGCTGATACGCTGCAATTTTTTTATAATTCTGAAACCTTCTTTCTTCACATAAATCTTTCTCAGTCTGTGCCTAGAGCACACTTGAGTGCTGTAAATAAGGCATTGAACATAAGAACAGCTATACTTGCAGAGGTCAAAGGTCCGCCTAATTTAGTGTCATGTTTGTAACAGTAGTTAATGATAGATGCTTAGAGTAGGAGAACAGAGCACCTTTCTCCAGGGTAGTCTCAGCTTCTGGGACTGTACAGTTTAGGAAGCTCCGCAGGTGGAGGCTCTCTTTAATTGTGCCATAAGTTATTTAGTGCAAAGGGCATGCAAGATTGAATAGTTGGTCATTATTTGCAAGCACTTAATCTTGCACACCAGGCTTCTGTGGAGGAAAAATAATATGCATGCATGCGGGAGAGTTAAATTAAGGCAACCTCCAGGAGTGCAGGTTTCTAACTTCCAGGTGTGTGACTTTGACTTCATATTTGTTTAGGTAGTAGTTACACCCAGTGTCTGTATACTCAGTGAATCAGAAGTCCCTGTCTAAAATTTGGCTGCTAATCCTTCAGAGCCATTTGTTAGACCAAGTAACGGAGGGGTTATAATCATGTCTGAATCCTTTATTTGCAAGACAGACTCAAATGTTTTACTTTTTGATTGTATAAAGACTGAAGAGGCAGCTATGTGGATCTCCATTTTCTTGAGATTAATGTTCAAGGCTGAGAGAAAGATGCAGTTGTTAATAGCGTTCATGTGAGACTGATCCAAAAGTATTCTTCTCAGGTGTTCATCTCTCTTCATCTGGTACTCTGCACCATTTGACTTGTGAACAAGCTTGCTGGTCTCTACTGAGACATAACTCTGAACTTCTGCTTACATGGAGGTCTGAAAAAATACCTTACCATGTTCTTGGTTGGTTGTAGGTTTTTTTGTTTGGTTTTGACAGCGTTTATCACTTATTGTTAATCTTAATCAGGATGTCAAGTCAGTAGACTTTTTCCTTCGGTCATTGTTCAGGCCAATAAAAGTTTGGTGATAGAATCCAACCTGTCCATGTCAGAAAACAGTACTGAAAAAATCAAAGTAGGTGTATTAGGGAAGCCACAGAAAAACTGCCTCGTACCATTTGAAAAATGCAATTATGTTAGTATGTAGCCAGGAAGGTGGAGATTAAGGTCCTCTTCAAGCTCTTCTTTTGTTCCTAAGAAATTTATACATACATACTGTATGTATCTTTACAGTGAGTTACATTAGTGGACTTTCTCGGAGGACCACTGGGCTGAGGGACTCTGGTGAGGATCTGCCTGGTGCTATTAGTGGTAACAGACAGTTCGCCAGCATGGAAGGGTTGGAGTTGAAGCCCAGCCCCTCTAGCAAAGAGCAGTTCAGTTCAGGGTACTTGCTAAAGTCTGTGGAGTCACACAACGCAGCACTGAGAGGAGTAAAGAGGCGATGCCTTGCATTGAGTGCATTGAGTCATGACGACCAGATGCTCACAGACCCTAGTAGGTGCAGGTGCCCTTTGTGCAGAGGAATTTCTCACTAAAGGATATAGACTTCTAACTGATTCATTGTTTTGAACTGTAACCTTAAAGTGAAGCAGAGACTTCAGAATATTGTTTGAGATTTGGTTCTCCTTTGAGACCTTGAATGAGCTAGTGTCAGCTGGGTACGTGGAGATTGTTTCTGCAGTTCAGTAAGCAGCGCTAACTCATTACCCTTCAGGAACTCAGACCTTTGTCAGTGTCCTGAGATGGTTGTAAATCTCTGTGTTACTGCAGTGTGCAGGGAGAAGGCCAGGATGCTCAGAACTCTCTTAATGGAGTGTTTTGAGGTTGATCTTTGGTTCAGGTTGTTATAATATGGAAACTTGTTGTCCACTCTGTAGTTAATGAAAAGTGTCCCTTTGGCCTCTTCGTCCCATTGCTCTGGCGTTTAGCCATCCCCTAAATGGCTGAGAATGTATTAGCAGGTCACTATTTTGATTAAATCTAATTTCACACCTGAAAATGTATGTCTGTCTGAGAATGAGTGGGAGGAATTGGGGCTTTCTTCATAATCTTAAGGAGCATTTTCTATAGGAGAGTCAATCCTTTTGTGGGATTATGGAGGTAAAAAGCCTCTGAATTTTTTTCTATACCTATGCAGACTGGCCAACAGAGAGATGATAATAGTAATATTTTGATATACTTACTAATATCTTTTAATTGTAAACTTTTGCATTAGGTACTCTGTTTACAAGAAGTCCAAGAAGACCACTATAGAACAGAGATCAAGTCAAGTTTGGAATCCCTGGGTATGACGAAACTCTTATGACCAATACATTGTCTTCTCCTCTGTCCCAGTACCATTTTCCTCAAACTCTCTTAAAGAATCAAGTCTCTTACCATCACGTGCAACAACATTGTGTACCCCCTTTTATAAATTCATCAAGTGCTCTCTTGAAACTGCCTCAGTGTTTTCTACGAGTGTTCCTGTTGGATAACTTTTCTAGGGTGTGTTTTTCTGGCTTGAAGCCTGCCAAATACCAGCACTAAATTTTATCCATGCTCGGTTCATATTCATTAGTTTTTATACTAGTACTGTCGGTCAGCCGAAATAGCACTGTCTTACCACTCTCCCGTGTGAATTTATGGAAGGAACATGTTGCTAGGGGTGTGATTCCATGGTGGTTTAAACTGACCTAATTCTTTTGTGCCCTACACCTCCTACTAGTCCCAGGGCCCCGCTCTCTTCCTGGCACTGGTACTTGTCTGATGCCAGGAGGAGCCAGCAGCACTGGACTGGTACCATTTTCTTTCTTGGTTAGTTGGAGGTAGTTTAGCTCCCAGAATTCAGTGTTTGTAAAGAAGGTAGAGTAATGGCAGTACTGATTTAAATCCACTTGAAACATGAAACAACACTGTAAGGCCAGGCTCGTGTGGGCAGCTGAGCTTTCTGCCGCTGTACCGGAGGAGGATCTGGAGTTTGGTGTAGCTCTTCCTCTTCCCCGCCTTACCTCCCAGATGCATGTCCCAGCCCTTCTCCTGGGCTAGTTCTGGCACTCACTAGACCTTTACCCTGGTGAAATTCACCAGAATACTATTCAGACTAACTTTATTTTCCTGATTTACTTTTCTGTTGGCTTACTGAGTTAACAGTAAATGCCACAACAAGTGGCCAGAGCACATGGTCTGGAGCTGGGAGTGAGGGGTGGGAATCCCCTTTTGCAACACTGATGTGAGCTTGGAGGTCAACTCACTCCACTTCGTGGACCTGTACTTCATGAATTCATATGGCACGGACTGGGCAGAGAAGCATTTTAAAATGGCAAAATCTAGATATTCTTTCAAGATCATTAGTTTTTTCATAAAGTCTCATTAAAAGCTGTGTTTCACCTCTACATAAAATGAAGAACTTGGCAAATTACTCTCTTCAGGTGGACTTGTTTGAACTCTGATACTGTCATTTGATAAGCGTCTCAGTTTCCCTGTTGAAAGCTTGCTGCTAACTGAATAATTGTGTAAATATGTTAGAGACCTTTGTTCAATGAATCATTTTAGACAAAAATTTATGACTTATAGTGATTATTGCTTTTGATTAGAATGCTTCACTGGTATTATTCCTAAACCATTGTGGTAACATCCAGAAAAAACTTCAATACGCCAGTCCACTTTTATGTGACATGTGGGTTGTGGTTTTTTTGTTTTGGTTTGGGTTTTCTTCCATGTGAGAAGAGAAGAACATGCCTGGTATCTTTAAGTATGTAGATGCTTACACATTGCAAAAGATTTGCTGTAGTATCTAAGCTTAAGCTAGACAGGACAGAAAGGCTCTTGTGGTCACTTTTCTATGTGAACTTCACGTAGTCTTTGGTACTTCAGACTGAGTGTTGACTGCCATGTGAGAAAAGTAGCATGAGGTTTTTCTTTTTTTTTTTTTTTAAATAGTCCATTTATACAATGGTATTTTATATTTTTAATTGCCTTTCTTGCAGGGTATCACTGTGAGTATAAAATGAGGACAGGGAGAAAACCTGATGGCTGTGCTATTTGCTTCAAAGCTTCAAAATTTAGCCTGATTTCATCAACCCCCGTGGAATTTTTTCGTCATGATATTCCTCTCTTGGACAGGGACAACGTTGGATTGGTGTTGCTTTTGCAGCCTAGATTTCACTGTAAAACTAATGCTGCGATCTGTATAGCCAATACACATCTGCTGTACAACCCAAGGCGAGGGGACATCAAACTGACCCAACTTGCAATGCTCCTGGCAGAGATTGCTAGTGTTGCCTCTCAGAAGGATGGTACCTTCTGTCCAATTATCATCTGTGGTGACTTCAATTCTGTTCCTGGTTCTCCATTGTACAGATTTATAAAGGAAGGAAAGTTAAATTATGAAGGACTTGCTATAGGGAAGGTAGGCTATGTTTTTCACTTCTCGCAAAAAAAGGTTAATACCAGTTAAAGAGAAATATGTCATTGGTGCTAGCGTGCTGTAGCTGTGATTATTTCCATTGCAGTACCAGTCTTAGTGCCCTATACACCGTCTGCAAAGCGAAAGTTACTGTGGGATTACTAAAAGAAGCTTCGGTATATTAGCTGTGCCTTACAGAATGTTGTATCCACTTCTAGCATTCTGAAATTAAAAACTTGCAAACAAATCAATTTTTTGAAATGTAGTTATCCACAGGATGATTATATCGCCATGATTAAGTGTCCCAGTCTTTCGGTAGGATAAAATAACTACTTAATCAAATACCTACTGTGTACTCCATGGAAAGATGACATTTATTTTAGATAAACTTGGAATTACAGGGGCTAGAATAATTGTGAAAGCAAAAATGCAATTAGATGCTGAACCTAAACTGTTTTGGGTTAGATGGTTTTTGTTGTAAGCTCTTGTGTGTAGCTGTTGGATGTGTCAAATACTATTTAATAGAAAGTAACTGGCGTACATACAATGAGAAAACACGAAAAAATAGCCCCACTGGTGTTTGTTGCTAGTGGGTAGTTGTTTCCAGCCCTGCTTTGACTTGACTTGCTCCCAGAAGCATCATGAAGATAAAGTAAGCATCTGCTAGGGAGCTGTATATACTCAGTCCTGTTACGTTGCTAAAAGTGTTCTTGGTAGTCTTGGTAGTCTCCCAGCTTAGTGTCACAAGGACTATCTTGAAAAATTGTGTAGCTGCAAAAAACTTAATAAACGTAAGCGAAGTGGGGTGTACATAAGGGTTGTTATTTTTACAGAGATTTGACAAGCCATTAGAAAAGATTTATTCTAAGGGGCTGGGGCTTTTCTTTGATTAAAACTTTAAACTTTGCATAAAATGTCCACTTCTTTCAGATTTTGGGGTTTTTTGGGTTTTTTTGTTGGGTTGGGGTTCTTTTTTTGTTTGGTTGGTTTTTTTTAAACCAGATTTCTGTCTGAAAAAAGCTCATGTTGTCTTTCTTAGGTCTCTGGACAAGAACAGTTTCCAAGGGGACAAAGAATCTTATCTATTCCAATTTGGCCAAAAAAATTAGGTATTTCACAAAACTGTGTATATGAAATAAAACAGCAACAAAATGAAGAAAATGCAGGTCAGTTTCTGGGTTGATGAATTTCATGGTCCTTTGAAAATACTGTTCAGGTAGTACTGAAAAAACAGCTGTTCTGTTCTAGTGGGGAAAACCAGTGTGTCTTGAGCTTGCAAAACTTCCTTCTTGGGCTCATTACAGTGTAATGTTATTTGTTCACATAAGCATTTGCAAATTCAAATCTTTTGAAGAGAACAGTTAGAAATTGCCATTCAGGAGCTGATGTGTAATATTTAAACTACTGTGTTTGCATCATGAAAGCCAGTTGTGCTGTGACTAGGGAAAAAAGAGATGGAGGAATGCAGCACATGTATGTAGCATGAACCTACATTCTGCTTCTGTGTTTATGTATTATAATGCAGGCACTTTATGGAACAAGTGGAAAAAGCAAGTGATTCCTTGCTGAGTATTACTACATCTTTCATCCATCATTTTTTTCTTTGACAGAAAAAACAATTTTAAATGAAAGGGACATAATTTGAAAGAGTCTTTGGAGGGGATCTTACTAATGGAACAGAAGACTTAATCAAGCTTTGTGAATTGTATCTTGCCTGCAGCAAAAATACGTGTACTTAAAGAATTTTTTTCTGTAACTTTTCTGTAGCTCTTCAATATTGGTCTCTACATCTTATTTTTAAATGTAAATTGAATGTGTTTTTATTCTGCAGGAGAAAAATTGGAAGCAGCAAAACTGGACAACACTCAGGAGATTGTAATAGCATCTGAAAAGTATGTGTTGGGGGGAAAAAACGGAAGCCCTTGGCTGATTCCTAGTTTTGGGGGTTTGTTTTGGTTTTAGACAAAACTTGTATCTGATTCCAGACATTGATACAACATGGTCACCCAACCCAACTGCCCATCTGACAAAAAAAAAAGTTAAAATTATCATCCATTTAAGCATGAAAAGGCTGATCGGACAGCAAAAGACTAGAACTGGAAATAATGGAGTATGTGTTCTTGTGGGAACTTGCAGATACGGAATGCAGAGGCAAGGTGTCAGTTTAGAGGGTACTTTCTGTCTGCTTATTAAAAGAATGCTTTTAACGTTTTTTGTCACTTCTTGACATAAACAGGACATCTTGCTCTGTAGTGGTATCATAGGAAAGCTGTGAACTTCAGTCCAGTTGCAGAAACCATGTTTTTTAAGGGGGGGGGAGGGGGGAAATCAACAAAAAACACAGTGTTGTCCAGCCGCTTAAGCGTTGGCACTTCCATCTCTTTTTACTGTTTTTGAGATACTGGTTTATGGATGCTAATAAAATCCTATAATACAATGTGAAATTGGGATGAAGGAGGGAAAGGAACTGGAAGGATCATAAAATCTTTGTTGTCAGGAGTTCTGTGGGAGAATTTAGGTTCTTTGAGTCTCAGAAATTTGGAGTATTATGGATTTGGTAGTACAACTCTTACTCAGATCAAAACATTTGCTTATTAAACTGAAGGAGGAAGCCACCACTAGACTGCTGAGAAAATGTAACTGCTCTTTGAAAGGAAGACTATTACTTGCATTTACCAAACTGGTAAAGGCATATAAAGTAAGGCACAGAAGAAGGAAATTGCCCTAACAGTATATATGTTATGTCAGGCTCCAAGTCAGCCATTTCGTATCAGAAATGAGATCTCGGTATCATTGCTGATAGTTGTGTTAAAACTCTTGGTGATCAAAAACACTAAGTAATGGCATTTCTGAGAAAAGAAGTAGATAACAAGACAGGAAGGCCTGTTCTATGCTATAAATCCATAGCATGCCACATGTTGAACGCTGCTTGTAGGGTTTTTGGCTTCATCTTAAAAAGGATGTCATGTAACAAGAGCAGAAATTACTACTCTTCTGTGTTGTACCAACTGACACGTTTGTCTGTCTTCTCTAAATCAGGCAGGTTACATGCTGATTTTCTTTTTTTTTTAAATTGCTTGGTTTCTAACCAGAACACATTGCAGCTCAGTTTTAAAATGCAGCCGTGCAAGGTGAGGCAGGTACAGCTGAGGGATGGATGATTTGCAGAGCTGATAGGAGTAAATGGCTGGGAGGGAGAGAGGATTTCTTTTGCTGAAAGGTGCAGTTTTGCAATTTGCTTTCAACATTGAAAAAGTGGTGAGACAAGATGGGCTCAACTGAAGAGGAACAGACTGACAGATGATGGGGAGAGACAAAACGGGAGCCTGAGTGGAGGAAAGAAGATTAGGTGTAGCCTAACTTGAAAGCACTTGATAGCTTTAGTTTAAGGGAGGAAAAAAACCCTGAAAATCTTAATTTCTCTATATGCTGAAGGGCCTGGTTAGATGAGTTCATAGTCTGTTGCCTCCGTATAAGCTGCTCTCATGGACACTTCTACCCATGTGTGAGGAGGAGATTGCTGAATAAGGATACATGTGAAATCTGACAAAGTGGAGATGGAGGTGAAAGCTATGTATATCTAAAGTGTCAGTGAAGCCAGTTTTGATAGGCTGTTAGGTTATCTGCCTTTTACTTGAAAAAGCTGCCTGCATTTTGCCTTCAGAGGTTTAGGCCACTAACACAAGACTATGGGATTGATTGCATGAGAGAAATGCTAGTTTGCATATCCAGATAATTAATTGTGTTTGTAACCAGGGATTATTTGGTGTTTCTTCATTACTTATTCTTTCTAGGAAAGACAAGAAAATAAAATTATTTTCTTTGATTCCTGTTTAGGTTGTCTTCAAAATTGCAGCACCATTTTAAATTGTCTTCAGTGTATTCTCATTACTTTCCTGAAACTGGGATACCAGAAGTAACGACTTGTCACTCCCGAAGTGCTGTCACTGTGGATTATATTTTCTATTCTGCAGCAAACAATGATACTACTGCCCAGCCAGGTAAAAAAACCACCCAACTCTTAATTATTTTTAACAAATGCTAAGTGGGAACATTCAGATGCTGTTCTAAAGGAAATGCAGTGATAATTAATCCATACGAGGTACCTGAGAGGTTTGTGGTAGTGCTTTCAATGTCAGCTGTTATCTGAGAAACGTGGATGGCCTTGTCGACTTACCACAGTTGGACTTGTAGTGCCGGACAGGGCAAACTTTTTCACCTCACTGAACATTCCTGTAGTTGCCATCTCAGCATGGAGACAAGCGCTGAGGCTACAGAAAAGCAGCAATGTCAGTAGCACCTGAGAAATACTGCTGTCCGTAACACACACAGGACCTTAGTGACCAGACCTACAACAAAGCAGTATTTCCAATCATCTAACCAACAAAATGGTGAATGGCAATTCATGATGTGCATTAAAACTGATAAATGAACTGTTTCTTAGAAAGTTACTTTTCAGATAGTCTTGATGTAATGTCTCTCAAGTAAACGATCTCTGGCCTTTGCTCTGAGAGCAGTCCCTTGCCCATTCCCAGTTGTAGCTCTCTTGATTGCAGTTGCAGCTAAAACGCAGCAGATGGTGCAAGAAAGACACGGTACCTCTGCGGGTGCATTTCTTGATGGGTAACAGTGCTAGCCTTCACTGCGTTTGTGCTCTTAACTGTGGATGCTTCTGAGCAGTGTGCTTCCCATGTCATCATTAGTTCTGTGGTTTATGCTATCGTCAGAGGTCATTGCACAGTGCGGTGCTATCAGACAAGTGGCTCTGCAAAACTCAGAACAAGGAAACCTGGATTCTACTCCTGCTCCCGCTGTAGATTGCAACTGATTTTTATAAATTAACATTGTTTTCAGTATGTGAAATGAAAAGACCACCTTAATCTCTCGTACCTTGAGACTCGATTGTTAAAATTCATTGAGTCAGCGCACAAAAGACTCATTTGTCATAGCATGCACAGTAAATGCTATCCTAATGTAAAGTAACAAATACAAAAGCTTCACAGAAAAAAAAGCTTTGACTGAAAAACTAGGATATGAGAAGTATCTAAATGACTTCTGAACGCTGTGTGATTTCAGAGTTCATCCCTATGCAAAATTTAAACCTAATTCACCTGCTTATATATTTTGTTGCACCTTCATTGCCCCAGCAGAGCTATAGCACTTTTTTCTTTCTGCACTTGTTTTTCAAATAGATTCTTCACACCACATCAGAGTACAGAATGGGACCGAACTTGAATTCTCCAAGTAGTTTAAACTGGTGTAGTTTTTATTCATCAGTTCTTAGTTTCTAAGTAGTAGTCTGGATTTTCAGTTTTCTGATGACCTGGACTTCTGTATTAAAAATTGTCAGAGTCTGAACAAGTGAGTATTAAATGTGGTGTAGGCTGACTGATAGCTTTTTTCCATTTAAAGGATTGGATTTTTTTTTTATTTTCGTGCTTTGGTCTGTCATGCTTAGCCAAATACTTGGTTTGGTATTCAGGATGTGCCGTGAAAGCAGGGTTCAGTACCTATCCGAGTCCTGCAGGACTCAATTTTGCTGGTTCCAGAGTGCTCTGAGCTGACATTAATCACTGCATGCAGACCAAGCTCTCTGTAGCAACAAACAGCTCCTTTGTAGACATGCAGGTGCTGTGCCAAACGATAAATTTGGCTCAAGACCTGGGCAGACATGTGCTCTAGAGCTACCGAGACATCTTTGCAGTAAAAAAAGCTTTTCTTCAAAGCAGCAGTAAACAGCTGCTGAGCTGTTAGAGGGCTGGAAGGCTGGCAGATAGCTAAGGAGTGAAGCTGTTGAACTATCTGAGGAGTTTAACAGTTGCCAGGTAATCCTTTAAAATATGCCTACTGGTAAGCCAGTACCAGGTTCAGCCAGGAAGTTCTGAAATTGCTGATTACTTTCATACAGAAGGTATTTTTGTAAAAGTTACAGCTGCTGTTTGTGCTGGTCCTGAAAGCACTCAACCTGCTCAGTATCATCTCTGCACTCTGAAAGTAATAGCTGGAGTTGCTGAATAGTTGTCTCGCTGAAATAGATAGCTTTGCGGAATTTCTTTACTTGAGTTGGAAGAAGCTTGTTACTCTTTGCTGATGATAGTTTTCTTTTTTTTAATGAGGACACAAATATTTAAAGTATAGTATAATAATAAGGTGTAATAATAAAGGGAAGGCAGGGACAGGTGACACTATAGTGGGGTTCTACTGCAGGCCACCCAACCAGGAAGACCGAGTGGATGAGACCCTCAATAGACAGATAGGATCAGCCGCATGTTTAGAAGCCCTGGTCCTTATGGGGGACTTCAAACACCTCACTATCCGTTGGAGGGACAACACAGCAGGGCATAAACAATCCAGGAGATTCCTGGAATGCATTGCTGATAACTTCCTTCTCCAAGTGATGGAGGAGTCAACGAGGAGAGGTGCTATGCTGGACCTTGTTCTCACCAACAAGGAGGAGCTGGTGGGGAACATGAAGCTCAAGGGCAGCCTTGGCTGCAGTGACCATGAAATGGTGGAGTTCAAGATCCTTAGGGCAGCGAGGAGGGCGCACAGCAAGCTCACTGCCCTGGATGTCAGGAGAGCAGACTTTGGCCTCTTCAGGGAGCTGCTTGGTAGAGTACCATGGGATAAAGCCCTGGAGGGAAGAGGGGCCCAAGAAAGCTGGCTGATATTCAAGGATCACCTCCTCCAAGCTCAGGAGTGATGCATCCCAACCAAGAGGAAGTCAGGCAAAAACACCGGGAGGCCTGCATGGATGAACAGGGAGCTCCTGGATAAACTCAAAAGACAAAAAGGGCGCCTACAGAGGGTGGAAGCAAGGACAGGTGTCCTGGGAGGAATACAGAGAAATTGTCCGAGCAGCCAGGGATCAAGTTAGGAAAGGTAAAACCCTGATTGATAGAATTAAATCTAGCCAGGGATGTCAAGGGAAACAAGAAAAG